GGGACGGATTAAGGTACACTTGACGCCCTATGTTCCAGGCCATTCTGCAGAGGAAGGCTAGAGGCTGGGGAACCGAAGAAGAGATGCAATCTGATTAGGGAGGTGGCCGAAGAAAGAAATGGGCATTGTAGACTTCCACGTCTTTTTCTTCGTTCTTTCTCTTCGTCCGCTCTCTTGTTGATTCCCCGTGTCACACGTTCTCTGCTCCCCTATTCCCGCAGCGCCGCAGCCAGCGCCTTGTCAGTTTTGACTTTCCACAACGAGTTGAAAAAGCCCGTCACCCAGGTCCGCCAAGATTATCTATTGACCAGCAGAAACTCCGTGCATCCCGCCGCAAAGAAAAAAACAACATCATCTCATGGGTGTTTGGGGAGGGAGCTCGACCTCGTCCAATCAACGGGGTCCGGGCTACTGCTATTAACCGCACTTGGCCAGTGACCCTCTGAGTGGCTGTGCAGCAAAAGGTGACGACGAAGTGTGCCTCCTCCTCACCTTTCCGTATGTGGTGTGCGATGTCTGCCCGTATCGGATGCCGTGATTTACGATCGGGGGCCTCGGGGTTTACTTTTGTCGATTCCCGACCTCCGCCTGCCTACCTTTGGTTCAATGTTCGGTCTCGGTATTGCCTCTCCCCGTTGATCCCTTGCGGTGGATGTCTTTCGCAAATCAGCCTCCGCCAGTCTCACCGTCCGGCTCATTAAACCAAGGACGAAGAGGGTTGAGCCGCAAAGTCCGCAAGTGATCACTGCAAAGAAGGGAGACTCGAACAATCGACACTCGAATGAAATTGTCCCAAGTCAAAAAGGGGAAGGGAAGGGATGGAAGCTGGGCTCTGACCGCCCGCCTGTTGTCTTACAAGCTCTCCCATGTAACCCGGAAACAAACGCAAACACTAAAAAGTGTGTTCGAACTTCCAAAGGGAGGCTCTATGTACTTTAAAGAACGCTCCGACTTCGTTCGAGCGTTGTTGACCGAACCACGCGTTTCGATAAATTACTTCTTGTCTTCCTTGGAGCTTTCAGCCGTTTCCCCAAGTTACAAGTCGTAGGGTACGAATCAAAAACGCCGCAGCGTCGCATTGCTTTCCGTCTGTTTGACGAACCACATGCGGTGGCAGCCACCCCAAAGTCTGACCTGCCTCCGTTCCGTCCGATGTGGTGCAGCCAGCATCCATCCCATCACCGACGCACGCTTGGTCACAGGCGGCGGTCATCAACTCAACTACATTGATGTGCATGACCATGGAAGTTCTGTGTCCCTCCCCCGTTCCAAGACACCTCGACACCCTCTCACTTGCAACTCACCCCACGCGCTCTAAATGGGTGCAATAACGAGAAGGTCGTGCTCACGGAACGTTGTCTATTCCATGCGTTCTGCCTTATGCAAGACTGTACGTACCCGTTCAACACCGTCTCCTCGAAACGCCCAGCAGCCCAGTGAACAATGTGGCTGTTAATTGGAAGTTGGGTCCATGAAGGAAACTCAGTGCCGACTTGGCTCTTGGACGATCTGTCAGCCCTCCCGTTCAGGGTGCTGAGAACCCTGGTCCTGTACGAATAGTCCAAGATGCTGTATTGCAGACCGTGCCCCGTGACTGCGCAATGGGCGTACTTTGTCGGTGCTAAACAGCGAAGTCGCTGCCAAACCCTTGTACATACGGAGATACGTGAACATGATGGCATGATTTCTGACTTTGCAAGTTCACTCTTATCCAATGCTCGCCTGCCTCATTCAGACGTTGGCGCCAGACGGCTGACAAGGTCTCCCAGGCGGCTTCGGGCTGTTGGGGCTGGGGCGGTAGAGGGTGACCCAAGACAAGAGGAGGGGCCGTTGGCGCCGGTCCCCTGGTCGTCGTCTTGTGTCTTCTCCGCAGAGTGTCCTCCATTCGCTGGGGGGGGGGGGGGGGGGGNGGGGGGGGGGGGGGGGGGGGGGGGAGCGCTGCCGCCGTTAGAACACTGCCTCACGGGTTTTTGCAGAGCCCAGTGCGTCCTGAGGAGATCTGCCGTCAGCATTGTGTCCGATTTGAAACCCACCTGGCCGGGTCTTCTCTCCCCATCACTTGCAAGCCCTTCAGAATGAAGCGCTGCGTTGTTTTACTGCCCAGTGCATTACATACCGCAGGTCGACATCAGACGGGGGGAGGTTTTTGACGAACTTCATGTCAGTGCCGTCGCCGTCACCGCTCTCGGACTGTGAACCACCGCCAGTCTGTCACCGCTGCAGCAAAGGCCAGCTTCCAGAGCCCAGGGATGCCATCGCCCCCAGCCTAAACTGATCCGAAAACGCGGACGTGAAAAGAAAAGAAATTGACTTAAAGGGTCCATATGACGGGCCTGTATCCTGCATGCGTCAATACCTCCTGCCCCCCTCTCTGGCCGGCCCCATTCCCATGCAGTACGAGCAGGGGTTGTCCCGCCGGTGACAGTCACTTTTCACGACACGTCTGCCGCGGCGTTGGAGGTGGCTGGGTCCGCTGTTGTTAGTAAGAAGCGTGGAGCCAGAGGCATCGTTGGCATGGCTTGATCCTAGGTCATGAATGGCTTCTCGTTGCCATGTGTTCCAGTGGAAAACCGGTGGGCGGCTGTCAATCGGCCATTATGACCAAATTGCAACGGTCCAGAATATCTCAGCGTCTTCCTAGACCCTTCATGAAAGCGGTTCCCGCCCGCTCTCCGCCCTCCGCCCTCCGCCCTCCGCTCGCCGAGAAGGCCGGGCCCGTAATCAGTACGAACCGAAGTACGATTAATCCAATCAAGTCGGAAACCGAACAGGGCAATAGTGGGATACGAAATCCCCAGCCTCTAATTATGTTGCGCCGCTCCGGACCTGGATGGATAGGAGCGTTGCAACGCCCGGGGTCGCGGTGCTGTCGGGCGCTTTCCACTCCAAGGGTCCGGTTCGTCTGCATCAGCGACTTGCCTAGCGACTTGCCTATTGCCCAAGTACGGATAGCATTTGGCCAAATTGCGCGGTTAAAACTGGGCATCCGGTGACAAGAACAATGCGATTGTGTATTGTTGGCGCATGGCTCCCGCCCCCAACCACGCTTCCCGGCAGCGGTTCAGGCGGATCTGGTTGAATACTTCCTGCTGTGAGTCCGTCACGACACCAGTCAGCCCAAGGGCGCTGTCACTCGCTCCTTCACTTTGAAGCATCCGTTCCACTCGCGAAGAATGGAAGAGAGGTTCGGGACTCGGTCTCTGCCGCCGACGTAAGGTGGATGGATGATGAGCGACGGCCTCAAGGAATGGCAATTAGACATGGCCTGGCTGACGGGAGGAACGGCTGGCTCGTAGTTCGTGGCACTTCTATCTCGACGCGCGTTCTCCATCCTCAAACAGCAATGACGGGACAATAACATTGAGCTTGTTGTCATTGTAGAGACGGTGAAGCCTGCGAGTCCAGCAATGGACGCTGAGCCACCTGTCGCTCGAGCGTGTTACGTCATGTCCGTGGACGGGGTCCTGAGCACCCCCCTGCTGAGCTGGTCAAGTCGTTCACAACCCATGCGCGGAGGCGCGAACCAACGTGGTGGTACGCCTGGCGTAAAATATCCGAGATGGAAGGACTAACGATTCAAATGGCTGGCCGCCATCATGATCCGCGGCATGTGCTCTGGCTGTCTGTTTTCGTGAGTCACAATGGCCTCGCTGCTTGACTGTGTGCTTGCGAAGTGGACAAGACCGAAGATCAGAAGCAGACCACAGCCGCATGGTTCGTCGGAAAGCAGGTAACGAGTGCGCTGCGTTCCCTGATGTCTGTGCTGCAAGTGTTTATTGTTAGAAAAAGATCGGCGCCTGTTGACGAGCCCAGGTCTGGTTCCCGGCTTCCATGTCATGTCAACCTCAGCCAGTTGCTCTCGCTTCAAGTTGTGACCAGGCTTTCTCCTGGCGATCAACGCGGCCGGAGTCAACAGTCAGGTCAGCCGGCAGGCTGCTGGCTTAGGTCATCTCAGCCCTCCAGCTCGTCTTGGTTGAACGACATGACAGCTGTGAATACGACTAGGAAACGTGACGCAGGCCGAGGTCCGGTGGCCAGCAGTCGGGGTGTTTATTTTAGCTCTGTTGCAGCCGCAGAGGCTGCAGAAAAGCGGCGGCGGCCACAACCGGCCAGCCTTTGTCGATCCCGACCGACGATCGCCCGGCAGACGCTTTGTTTGGCTGAACCAAGGTTCTACGCAATGACAACAGACGACTGGTTTTGGGTGGAGGAGGTTTGGCAGATGCAAAAGTTTTTATCGATCCAGGCACGCCAGGGAGGTAATTCTCAAGCGCGGAAACACCGAGATGTCGATGGAGTCCGGAGGAGCAGAACAACCAGGGATTGTGAAAAATCGCCGGATCGACATGTTCGGTCTTAATGAAGGGATGGCGATTTTTGCAGTTGGTTACATTGGTTGCCACATATTGGCAATGCTAGCTTGCTTCGTTGCAAAATTTTCAGTCAGAATTTTCTCGTCAACAGAAAATTTCGCGCTGTTGGTCGGTGGAGGAGGTTGTTGGCGAGAGAAACGTGTTTGCGATTATGCGGTCTGGAAGACAAGGAAGTCCCAGAGTATGGGCATTGTTTGAAGAAAAGATGTGGCTCCCATCGACTCACTGGAGGAGCTGTGAGGTGTCTGGTGGCCAGCTCTTTACTCGTCAGCGTTAGGTCGCTAAGGTAGCTAGGTACCTTAGGTAGGCTCGGTCGACTCATTGGATGGATGGAAGCCACAGTACAGCCAGAGCGGCCAAACATCGCTGCCCATTAGCTAAGTTGTACGTACCCGGACCGCTGGAGCTCGAGTTGCATCGCTGAAATGCGCCAACCAGACGCGCATGCACGTGTACACCCAATTTAACCCCCGGTTCGGAGAGCCCCCAACCAACACAACCACCCCCGGCCATGCCCACCACCCAGCGGCACCTGTCCAGCGCCAAAGATAACGGCTCCAGGCCCAACTATCCAGGAGAGTTGCGATCCAACATCGCAAAAGGCGCCTGATCTGCCTCATAGTGGGAATGAGGAGGCTACCTGGGCCCTTGTCGGCGACGAAACCCTTCACAGCGCGGCCGCCGAGGGTGCCTCGAACTTCTCCAAGCCCTCGAACCGCACCATGGCCGCACCCGACTCTCGTTGAACCTTCGCTCCGTCCTCTGTCGACCTCGACGCCGCCTGCGAACGATGCCCATCACCAGAATCAACCACCGCAACCCTTCCGCTTCGAGACCGGTGTGTCGCTCTTCGCGAAGAGAGCTCCGAGGCCCTTTCCGCCGCCCTTCCTGTCTCCTCCGTCCGGCTCCTTCTCCGACCCCCTCAGCACCCACCACCGAAGCCGTGATCGGCGCGCGAGAGTCGACGGACAGATCATCCTTGGACAGACAAACGGGGACGATGCCGTCTTCGCGAGCGACAACTTCATATGTGCGAACGATGGCGTAGGCGCTTGGTCGACCCGCCCGAGGGGTCACGCAGGGTAGGTCATGGTGCCTCTTTGGCGATACAACAACTGACCCTAGCTCAGGCTGTGGTCGCGCTTGATTCTTCACTACTGGGCAACCGCCGTACAGCAAGATGCTGCAAATCACGGTTCCGAAGGAGGAGCTTTCACCCCTAACCCGGTGGCATATCTCCAGACGGCATACGAGCAGACGCTAAGAGCGACATCGGACCCGAATGACTGGCAAGGAACAACAACTGCGAGCGGGGCGCTCTTGCATTATAAGACACTGGATGGCAGCAAGCAAGTCCCCCAGGTGTATGTGACCAACCTGGGTGACTGTCAAGTTATGATTTTGCGGCCGCGGCATGAGAAGGTTATCTACAAGACAAAGGAGCAGTGGCATTGGTTCGACTGCCCTCGGCAACTTGGGACGAACAGCCCTGATACACCAGAGAAGAATGCCGTCATGGATGTGGTGGAGATCCAAGAGGGCGACGTGGTTCTTGCCATGTCTGACGGTGTCATCGACAACCTCTGGGAGCACGAAATCATCGACAGCATTCAGAACAGCATACAACGCTGGGAAAATGGAGAGGCCGGAGCGGACAGAGTGGAGGGCGACCGCACAGGCGGCGCGAACGGAGGCATGAAGCTTGCTGCTGAAGAGCTGGTGGCTGCTGCAAAGAAGATTGCGACCGACCCATTCGCCGAAAGCCCCTTCATGGAGCACGCGATCGAGGAGGGCCTGCCAACCGAAGGAGGTGAGTTACCCCCGGGCATTGTCCCGTGCTCCCAACGCCTAATTGACAACCATAGGCAAACTAGACGACATCAGCGTCGTCGCCGCGCTGGTCAGGAGACACGAAGCATGAGAGCAAAGACGGTACTACGAAACGAGCGCATCTGGGAATAGAGCTGCATGGGGAATGCTTCGCAAGGGCAACTTCACAATAATTTGGCATATGCTCTGTCTGGGGGTTGGATGACAGCAGGCTTCTTGGGGAAATTCGGCGTTTTTCGGCTTTCTGAGTTTAGTTGCATCGGATAATTACCATCACCAAATGGAACAAAGTTCACACATGTCAAAAATCAAAGACCCAATCTACGGTGTTTGCCGATGTGGACGTCCGTTGCTGTGCTTGGTTCGCGCGCAACACACCGGATGCTGGGAGTCGGTGGGGTAAACCTTAGTCGGCGGGCATGCTTGGGTTCGAGCTGGGTCCTATCTTATCGCTTATCTAATCTTATCCCGGCGCAACTTTTTTTTTTTCTTCCTTTCAGCATCCTGGGCGAGAGACCCAGGACGTCCGTCGGTCGGTCTTCAGTCAACTTACCCAATTACGACAAGGCATCAACGACGACAAAATGCGCGGAAAACGTAGCAAGCAGTATCGCAAGCTTATGAACCAGTATGCGCTAACCTGGGGATTCCGTGAGCCTTACCAATGTCTCGTTGACGCTGAGATGGTGGTCGACTGCCACAACTTCAAGTACGATCTGCTCGCTGGACTCGAACGGACGCTGCATGGCAAAGTCAAGCCAAGTGAGTGACCATCTCTACGATCCTGTTCTGTTTTCTATGCTGACGATTACATTGCAGTGATTACGCAATGCGAGATCCGCAAGCTGTACCTTCGCAAGAGCGAGCCCGAGATGAACAAGATTATCGATTTCGCGAAGACCCTCGAGCGCAGACGATGCGGTCACCTTCCGGAAGATTATCCCGAACCGCTCGGCACGATGGAGTGTCTTAAGGCTGTCGTCGACCCAAAGGACAACCTCGTCAACAAGCATCGCTACTGCGTCGCCAGCCAATCGGTGGATGTCCGCCGCATGCTCCGCGAGATTCCCGGCGTCCCTCAGATCTACATCAAGCGCTCAGTCATGATCCTTGAGCCCATGGCGACGGAGAGCCAGGAAATCAGGACCAAAGAGGAGAGGAGCAAGTTCCGCGACGGACTGGTCAGGCCCGAGAAAAAGAGAAAGCGCGAACAAGACGACAACGACGCCGAGAGTGAGAATGAAGGCCAGGAAGATGATGTCGCGTCGGCTGATGGGAAGGCGGAGAAGAAGAAGGCCAAGAAGAGGGGACCCAAGGGACCCAACCCGTTGGCTGTCAAAAAGTCGAAGAAGGCCCAGGAGGAGGGCGAGAAAAAGCCAAAGGGCGACGTCAAGTCCGCGGCAGCAGGAGAAGAAGTTAAGGGAGACGGGCCTTCGAAGAAGAAGCGCAAGAGGAGGCACAAGGCCGGTGCTGGGGCGGGTGAGCCGGCGCCTCAAGGTGAAGGATCGGCAGAGCAAGCTGTTGGAAGCCCGTAAAGATCCAGGAAGCATTACAAGGGCGTTTGGGGATACTGCATTGGAATGTTGCAACAATAAAAGTTATTAGATACCAATTAATGGGAGATTCCTGCGACGAAGCTTGGTATACGACTTGTCAGGGCCCACGTGCCTTGCTGGGCCCCCTTATCTTTTCATGAACTGATGCTGACTCTCCATTGAGTGAGTCGAGCTGTTGTGGGTGGCATTCTTGACTTCCATCCTGACGATCAATCTAGGAAGACGGATGCTTCTTTCTTCTCTCGTATCATCCTCGTGACTTGTCACTATGCAACCCAAAGTCAACCGGCAGTGTCATCCCGCAAAGTCGAATCCGAAGAGTCAAATCAGAAGACATTTCCCCGAAGCCTCTCAGCGCAGCCAGGAGTGCCCATGATGGCATGCAGCCAATGTCGTCAGTTGGCCAGCATCGCAAAGGCCCCGGGAGGGGCGGCAGGACTGGGCAGCGGTCAGAGCTCTGGGCCACTGAAACGATCACTGTGTTGGTGTGTTGGCGGTGTGCCTCATCGGGCTGACAGCAGCGAGCACAGTCCCCCGATGACAGAGAATTGCAGGGCGGTGCAGGCGACCGATTGGAGATTGCACCCCGCCTGCCCCCTCCAAAGCCTCCCGTTTCCCGTCACAAGCGTGAGGTCGCGCGCATGGCTTCGTCGGCCGGCCCCACTGGAATGCCACTGTAGCGGATCGTCATGGGGAATTTGATCTCCCTCTCCAGGGTCAGTTTCGCTCGCAGTTGCAGCCCGGGAATCTTCCATTCAACCATCCTCCATCCCTTTCAAGTCTGGCAGGCCCCTCCTCTCGAAGAACCACCGAGCCAGCCAAACAAGAGGAAAAAACACTCACACGTGGATTTTTCCTCAAGAGTCTTTTTTCCCTGACGCCAACCATACGCAGAGAGCCGGAGAGGGTCTTCAGCCAGCACGTCAACTTGCAGCAAACAACCGTGGGCGCCCGCATTGTGCGCGTCGACATATCTGCAGCAGCACCACCTCCATCCTAGCACTAGCACCCACCCAAGGTATTAATCGTAATCGTGAACCGCTAAGGAACGAATAGTCAGCTCTACACCAGTGGCTCATTGCGCGTCTCCTTACGGAACCCTGCCCGGTCAAACGCCAAACGCCCCTCCCCCCAACCTCGACCCATTCGTTTCCCAACTTCCCGAAACACAAAGGGAAAAAAACACACAATAGCTGCCACCCCTGGATTTGCTATCATTCTGGCTTCGACACGGCTCGCATGCTTGCCTAAGGGACGAAATATCCTTTCATCACGGCGGGCTCAGGCGAGTCTGCCACCACTAATAACCCCTCACCGACGATCGCCACCACCACCACCGCTGCTGCCGACATGGAGGAGTCAGCCCAGAAACCAAATGGCTCTCCTGCATCAGATGTAACCGCACAAAAACCAACTGCCGCTGCAACAACAATGGCCGACAAGCCTGAATTCGATGATTTTGGTCTGCCCATCAGACGATATGTACCTCCACCCCCCGAAGACGACGATGAGACGACCGATGCTCAGTCCGAACCGAAACACCCTCATCCCGAGCCTTCAAAGATCGAAAAGGAGCTAGACGCCAACGATGCCCACCCTGACACGAAAGTCAACGGCGACAAGAAACCAAACGGCAATGGTGCAGAATCAGACAGCGAGGACGACTTCAGAGACGCGCAATCCGAGCAGCCGGCCACTGCCGCTGCGTCTGGCAACAACTCGAACACTCCGTCGACCCCGGTAACCTCGAACCTGGACAAGGACGAAATCAAAGACAAAATTGCTGCAGATGCAGACAGAGAAGATGTTGAAGAAAGCGTTGCGACAATCAACGGCGATAAAAGCACGGAAGAGAAGGTGGAGCAAAAGGAGAATGGCACTGTAACTACGCCCAGCGAAGCAAAATCATCAAGTCCAACACAGCCGGCCGCTGATGAGGCAACTGCCCCGGCCGCCGTTGCCAATGCCGAAATCAAAGGCAACGGTGTGCCGACGAACGGTGTCGCCGATGCCACGAAGGAGGATGAAAAGGAAACGCAGGCGACATCGGAGACCAAGGCAAAGGACGAGCGGCCTGATTCACCGGTGAAGCTCGTCGACAAGGCAGACCAGCCCCAACCAAAGGCAGCAGAGAAAGCTGCGGCAGGAGGCACCCACACCAGAGATACGAGCACCGCTAGCAACGTGGTCATGTCTGAATTCTCTCATCAGCAGTTGACGGCAGACAAAGAGGAAGAGAAAAACGATGACGATGGCGAATGGCAGGAGATGCCGGCATTTGCACCCTACGATATTTACGACGAAGACAATAGGCTTGTTGCCAAGGAGTACACGGAAGACGTGGACAACGAGAAATACGGCTACGGCGGGCTCGGAGGAGCTGGCAAGGGATATACTCGAGTAATTATGGACGACGATGCGGAATCGGCAACGAGCATGGACGACAACACGCAGTATCTTTTCAAAGACGTGAAGAGCACGGCAATGACAGAGGACGACGAGGAAGCGCGAGACGCCGTTTCTCAGATGCAGGCGACCAAGGACCTCTTGACCGAAGGGCAGAGGATAGCATATGTCGGACTAACCAGACTGGAAATTCATCACATGGTCAAGGAAGCCGAGAGCATCGAGCACACCAGGGGGACGAAGAAGGAAGTCAACATGTCAGCTGAAGCAACCAAGATGTGGGGACAGAAGATGATGATCCGTCTCTATACCCACATGGACATCAGCTCCCAGGAGCAAATTATGGTCGAGCAGCTAAGCGACCACGGTGTCGTCCCCTCTGACTTGACGCCATTGCTGATGGCCAACGCCAGGGTGAAGAACCCGATGGCGGAAGAGTCACGCTCTTCGCTGTCCGTGTCATCACCACGCACAGCGTCCCCGCGGACGCCACTACCACCCAGCTCGCCGGCCCTGCCCGAGGACGAGAAGCCTGCTGAGGCGCCTCCGCCGTATGAGACCTATGAGGGAGAAGAGCTCCCCGCTGTGAAAACTCCGGCGCAGCTGTCAACATCAGCCAACATCGACATCGATCTTCGCTGGACGGTGTTGTGTGACTTGTTCCTTCTTTTGATTGCAGATTCGGTTTACGACTGTCGTTCCAGAATCCTCTTGGAGCGTGTTGGACAAAGTCTCCAGATTGATTGGTTGGATGTTAGGAAGTTCGAGAAGAAAGTGACGGACGCTTTGGAAATGCAGCAGGCAGCCGAGAAGGAAAATTGGAACGAGGACGAGCACATGGAGCACAGGAGAAAACAGGCTCTCAAGAAACGATATGTCATGATGGGCTTGGCCACAGTCGGAGGCGGCTTGGTCATCGGTCTGTCCGCAGGTCTGCTTGCTCCCGTCATCGGAGCCGGTCTAGCAGCCGGTTTCACGACATTGGGGGTGACGGGAACTGGCACTTTCCTCGGCGGCGTCGGTGGCGCTGCTATCATCACGTCCAGTGCGGCCGCTTCAGGAAGTGTCATTGGAGGCCGAGCAGCGAATCGGAGAACTGGCGCGGTCAAGACTTTTGAGTACCGGCCGTTGCACAACAACAAGCGTGTCAACCTGATTGTCACTGTGGCGGGATGGATGACGGGCAAGGTCGATGACGTTCGCCTGCCCTTCAGCACTGTTGACCCCATCATGGGCGACATTTACTCCGTCTTCTGGGAACCGGAGATGTTGAGAAGTATGGGTGACACCATCAACATTCTTGCCACAGAGGTAAGATTGGTCACTTTGTATCCGTGAAGATGAACGAATACTCACACAAGCCAGGCTCTCACCCAAGGTCTTCAGCAAGTTCTGGCCAGCACTATTCTCACGAGTCTGATGGCTGCCTTGTCTTTGCCAGTCGTCTTGACCAAGCTTTCCTATCTGATTGACAATCCGTGGAGTGTCTCTCAGGACAGAGCTTGGGCCGCCGGCCTGATTCTTGCAGACTCACTGATTGACAGAAACCTGGGAACCCGCCCGATTACGCTTGTCGGGTACTCACTTGGCGCACGTGTGATTTTCTCCTGCCTCTTGGAGTTGGCCAGAAAGGGCGCGTACGGCCTCGTTCAGAATGTCTACCTCTTTGGTTCGCCTCTGATTATCAAGAAGGACGAATGGCTGCGAGCGCGAACGGTCGTACCAGGCAGATTTGTGAATGGATACAGCACCAACGACTGGATCCTTGCGTACTTGTTCAGACTGACCAGCGGCGGCCCTAGAAAGGTTGCCGGCCTGGCTAAGATTGAGGAAGTTCCGTTTATCGAAAACTTTGACGTCACGGAAATCGTCAAGGGCCACATGGAGTACCGACAGGCTATGCCTCGTCTCCTTCGAGAGTGCGGTTGGCTGGTGGAGAGCGACGAGTTTACCGAAATCGAGGACCCGGACCCGGAGAACCACCAGGAACGTCAACGTGAGCTTATTAATGAGATCGAAGAAGCGCGCAAGGAACTTGAGAAGGAGGGCCAAAAGAAGAAGAGCAGATTCTCGCTATTCGGACGAGGAAAGAAGGCCGACAAGGAAAAGTGGGAGATTTACGAGGACATGGCGAAGGAGGGTAAGCAAACACCCTCGAGAACAGAAGATAAGGAGGGCAACAACCACGGTGTGCTCTTTGACATCGACGCAATCCGAGCCGAGGTGGCCAAGGAGAAGAACAAGCCGGCCGAAGACCCAGAAGAATTTCAAGTGAAGGAGCTCAAGTCGACTCTACCACCGATGAAGCTGGACCTTAACTCTTCAAATTCGTCCCTGAACCCACGAGACAGTTTGCGGGAGACGAAGAGCGCATATGCCGTGCCAGGCCGAGCGTCGTACGAAACTTCCGGCTCCTATGGCTATACGCCAGAGCGGACGCCGACCTTCCACTCGAGTCAAACCTTCCCAGCAATGCAGCGCGCCCCGTCCCCATACCACGCGGCTCTCTCGCCACAAGAGGATATCCAGATGACATTTGACGACTCGTTCCATGATCCTCCGCCAGCGCCACGACCTCCACCGAAAGATGACCCTCCGCCAACTCGGCCAGAGATGAAGACTACACAGTCGGTGCCGACCATCGCCAGCAACCCGTGGGCCGACATTGATGATGATGATGATTTTGGCAAGGAGAAGGACATTTCCATGACTTTTGCATAGCGAGGAGATGAGCGCAAGTTGGCTTTTCAAAGTGCCACGGCGTGTCACCTCGACAAGGCGTATGGCTTTGGTAGACCGACAACGACACAAACGATAATGCAGCCAGCTGACCTACGGGCGTTGTTGCTATTGTACGACTGGAGTGTGTTTTTTGGGTCAAGCGTTGGGTTAAACTACAAACTGTAGAACATTCGCGTACATAATTCGCCTGCAATGACGCAGAGTAATCGCACAAGATGGGAGATGATTCCCGTTGAACCAATTGTGAAAGTCGCACCAACTTAGCCTCCTTGCGTATCTGTGATGATAAAGCGAATGTAAGGAAGGTCGGTCACCAAGGGATGTCACGCATGCTGTGCCATGTTGTAAAGCCTTGGCCTGAAAGGACGAGACAACACAAGTACATCATTGTCTGAGAAAGAACAAACACTGATGGTCTGTTGTCAAGTTGTCCTTTATCAGTGCTCTCCCAGAAACTAGCGTCGAAGAAGAGAAGTTCATCTTCAATTTGCGGTCTGCAGGGGAACGAAGACAGCAGTAATTTATGGTTGGTCAGTCTGGGACCTCCGAGGATTGGAAATTGTTGCTCCTTCAAATGAGCGGGGTTTGAGGCCCTGTTCCGGCAGGAGAGGTCCGCTGACCTGCAGGATGGCATGAGGTGGGCACTGCAAACCGACATTAGACGCGCGCCGAAGGAAGGGGAGGGAGGACCTGTTGGCGATAGTGAGAATGAGATGAGCGAGTCGCCCGGATATGTGGGGGGGTTTTTGTCACGTCAGCATTGCTAGAAGGGATGCGCAGAGCAAAATTTAACTTAGAACCCCCTTGTCGACTACAGTCCGTTGCACTGACAGCGTCCGCCCCCCCTTTTTTTCCCCACTTATACAAAAACATGAAAAAAAGCCTATTTTACGCTATAACGCGCATTCCTCCGCATTGCACACTCACTAGTCGCAGATGATGCTTCGTATGGCAATTGTAACTATAGTATAAATAGGTGGACGCAGAGAATATAGGCATATAATATCTTACTGAAGTAATATTAATTTTATATATTATAAGTAATAAGTAGGAACGTATTAACGTAGTAGGCTACTTAAATAAGTTTAGAAAGTAATTAGGCTAGTTTCTCTTATTAATAATATTAATAAAGGGATTTTCTTTATCTAAGTTATCTAAATCTACCCTATTATAATTATAATATCTACTAACTTGCTCTCACTTTTCTTCTATGATATAGCTATTATACTATACTACTAGTTTAGGATTCCCTCTAATCTTATACTTATAGTTAGTTTTTAATATTTCTAGCTATAATCTACCTATTTTATTATTAAGTGCTACTTACTTAAAGACACCTTAATACTTAGATTTATTATTAGTTAGAAGTTAGAAGTGCATAATATCTTTATTAATATTAATAGTCTTATGAGTTATATTAATAGGGATATATTAGTTAAGGGTACTTAGAGTTTTAACGCCCTTATAGACCTAAGCAGTTAGAGGGAAATACTTACCTCCTACTAGGGCCTACTTAAGTAGGATATTATTAATAGCATATAGATAAGGAGTATTAACCCCCTCGCCAACCTAGGTGGTTAATAAGAAGTACCTACCCTCTACTAAAGCTTATTTAGATATAATCTCCTTAGTAATCTACTTATAAATATTATAGAAGCCTATAGGTGCTTTTAGGATCTTTACTTTAAGAGTATTTATCAGAGCTATCTTAGAGTTAATATAGAAGGTAGGATAAACTTAGCTTAACTTTATTTTAGATAGACTCTTTATTTAGTTAAGCTCTTCTAGCTAAGTGTTATTAAGATAGGTAAATACTATAAACTTTTATAATATATAAGCTACATTATTACTAGCATTATATCCTATATTGATTTCCACTTTAGTTTAAATAATAATCTTAAGTTTAACATAAGCAGCCTTACTATTATAACTTATAGTGCCTCACCTAAGGAATACCCTATCCTATAGGGAATAGTATTAGAGATCCTAAGGGATTATACCTTCTTCCTAGAAAGTGTTAAGGCTAAGATAAATAAAAATAATCTCTTTAAGCTTACTTACTTAGGTTAAGAGAATAAGATTATACTTCTTCTTATCCTTCTTCTCATTAGGGGTTAGGTTTATATAGCAGAAATTTTTAATTACCTTCTTAATATAGATAGGGAGGTCTACACTATAGATAAACTTTATCTTACTGAAGCTAAAGCTATAAAAGTAAGTAGTATGCTAACCCTTTTAATATAAGAGCTTATAGTAGTTATAGGTCTTTTATATAATTAGGTGTTATAACTTAATAAAGTAATAATATTTTTACTTATAGTCTCCTATATTATTTATAATAGGGGGGGCTCTACTAAGATTACTAACTTTAGTTATATATAGATTAAGTATAGAGAACTTAAATTTAATAAGGTGCTACTTATACTTCCTATCTAACTAAAGAGATTTAATATATAACGTTTTAAAATCTATTATAAGGATAACTACATCCTATTCATAGAATAGCTTAATAGCAGAGGGGCTATATATTAGATGCAATATAATAGTAATACTAAATAAGGTAATCTAAGTAATAGATAAGCTTATTTCTTAAAAGCTATATATAAATAAGTTAGTTAAATAGTATAACTAGCTAAGTAGTAGAGAAAAGTGCATACTTTTTGCTTATTAATAAATCGTTTTATATATATTAAGGTTTTTTATTAACAGAAGGTATATTATAAAGAAGCTTCTTCTATTTCTTCTACTACTTCTATATAAAGCTACTAATAAAGACTAAGTAGGTTCTACTAGCAGACCCTAGCGTTTATAATAATAACAACATATATAATAACTGCTGCTAGCCTAGCTAAACCTCTTATATAAGCTATATTATAAGTATATCTTACTGTTACTACTACTTCTATATAAGGCTGCTAACAGAGACTAAATAGGTTCTACTAGCAGACCCTAGCATCTATAATAAAGATAATATATATAGTAACTGCTGCTAGCTTAGCTAGACCCCTTATATAAGCTATACTATAAGTAGGTTTTACTGTTACTGCTGCATCTATATAAGGCTACTAATAGAGACTAAGTAGGTTCTACTAGCAGATCCTAACGTCTATAATAAGGATAGCATATACTATAGCTAATAGGATTCCTAATAAGGGTGATAATATTAGTAACTAAAGTTTTTAATATACGTTAGTATAACTTATAAGGTGTAACTATTATTCTTATTACTATTATATATCTCTTAATAGACTAGTCTCTAGGAAGGCTATAACGTCTTTTGCTAACTTCTAGTGATATAGCTTCTATTTAAAGCTCTACTACGCATACTTATTTAATATCTTAACGCCCTCTATAAGCTAAGCAGCCCACTACTTATAATCTTTTAGATTTATTAAACTATCTACAGAAAAAGAGTTAATAAACAGCCTTTAATAGGTTAATAGAAATAAAAAAGCTAAGAAAAAAAGCAAAGAGTAGCTTCTAGTAAGATTAACTAAGAAAATATTTACTATTATAGATAATATAGGTGATGCTAAATAAGAGGGGGAAAATAGATACTAAAAGAAAGGAAGGAGAGGAGGAGATAAATAAGGATATAAAGAAGTAGTAAGTAAAATTATAACTAATAAGCGTGAAATAACCTAAATATAAATAAGATATAATACTACTAACATAGTAATATAATAAAAATATAAGTTGCTAAGGGAATTAATAGGAAAAAGATACTAATACTAATAGGGAATAGAAATAGAGAATTATACTTATATAGGTTTAATTACGTAATAGTAGAGGCGTGGAAGTGTAATAGGATATTAGTGAGGGGTGGAAAAGTAAGTGAAGTAAGGTAGGTAGGAAGGTAAGTAAAGTAAAGTAAGTAGAAAGGTAAGTAAAGTAAGGTAGGTAGGAAGGTAAGTAAAGTAAAGTAGGTAGGAAGGTAAGTAAAGTAAGGTAGGTAGGTAAGAGTGAATATAAAATATAGAGAGAAAAACCTAATATAACTAATAGAGTGAGGTTATTAAGGTGAGGGTTAGTTAAGAGAGGTTAACTTTACGTATAGACGACTTTAAGATTGCTTACCTACTTACCTAATAGCTGCTATGCCTTAGGTTACATACTAAGACTGCCTAGCTACAGTCTACTTACTCACCCTTCTCTTTTTGATAGCAACCTATTAGTTCCTTAAGCTAAGGTACCTTAGATAAAGTAGATAGATACCTTAAGCTTATATAAGCAAGTAATAAGGAGGCAAACTTCCTTAAGTACTACAGAAGTTACCTATAAGGTAGGTAGCTATAACGCCCTACTTATAGTCCTTCTTATCTTAGAGTAGATAGGTATGCTATTCTAAAGTGCGTAGAGATAGCAAACAATATACCTTAGCAACTAACGTTACTAGCTGCAATTTTATAAATATTAAAGTAGACTTTAAAGTGCTACCTATTCACCTTAATATAGAAATAAACAAAATAGTACTAGCGCGCTATATTTATCTATTATATTTAAATACCTCTAGTTTTATATCTATATACTGAAAGAGGAGCAGTTAAATAGGTGATTTTAAACCTTAGGGAACTAGTTCTATTACAAGATATCTTATTGCTTATAAACTAATCTCTACTATAACTAAGTGAGATTAACTCTAATTAATAAAAAAACTGTGATAATACTATAGTAAATTACTACCTACCTTAGTATCCCTCTCTTCTAAGTTTTACCTACTTAATCTAGTATAATTCTTCTATTTAAGATAAATAGGAATATAAAGCCTCACTCTACTAGTAACATATTTAGTGAGTAAGTAGATTACTAGTAGTATCTATATAATTTATAAGGATATCTTATGCTTATACACACTTTACTTTATATTATATGCTAAGTTAGTTAGTATATATATATTATCTGATATTATATTAAGGTAAGGGAAGAAAGGAGTGTTTAAGATAGAGAGAATCTCAAAAAAACATAGATTTCAACCTTAA